GTTTCTTGGTTTCATTTATTCAGATAGAATTTCACTGTTATATTTATGTAGCTTAGCTCTAATCTAACAAGGGTCTTTCTTTCACTCTGCCTTCTTTAGACCCTCAAGGCTCAAAAGGAACAGGTGTGTGTCTCTTATTCCTTTGTCTACAGGACTAGCTATGACTAGCTATGTAGTGTAGCTGTATCAGTTAGAAGCCACACTTCATGTCTTTTAATTTATTTATTTTAATTATCTCATCACCCTAAGCTATTACCCCCATCTTTCATTCTTCCCTCTTCCTGAAGTTGATAGTAAGCAGTAATTAAACTTTCAGTTGCCACTTTCATGGCCTGTTATTCGCAAATTACACAATACATTTTCTTGACCATTAAACCTCTTCTTTGATATGAACTAAGGATAAATCCATAGATTATTTTTTCATTCTTAACAGACTATAAAGAAAGTCAGAGTCAAGCAGGTGGGATTTGTGGTTTTTCATGCATGTATAATCAAGGATATGAAATTACTTTTAATTGCTTTTTACAATTAAGAAAAAGATCAACTTATGGAATGAAGTTTTGATTTTTTTTACCTTCCATCTATTTCTTTATTAAGTCACTGTCAGATGGCAATTCTGGCGGTTAGTGAGAGTTGTTAATTACATAGAAAACACTGTTCTTATGGGGTGACAGGCCAGGTAAAAATCCTCTGCATGAGAGAATTACATCAACCCAAAGATGTGCAGAAAGACCTTTGCTAATAATAGACATCGATGAACCAAACAGGTCTGTGAAATGTTAACTCTCTCAGCCCCCACTCCACTACATCTCGCAAATCTTACAAAAATATCTCCAGAAATAATTAAGGTATTTAGAAGTACTTAAGAAGATTAGCATAACTAGAGTTTGTGATTCTGCAAGCCAATTAAATTAACTGATTCTGTTCTCTTTCTAAAGGAAAATTTTTCAATATGACCTTTGGTATCTTTGTTTTCTGATGCTTTAGGACAAAACTGAACTGGAAATCAACTTCTATATATGCAGTCTGGTTTTTATATGTCTTGTATGCAGCCTTGAGTGTGTGTGGGATTTGAGTTGTGTCTGAATGTACAGGCGTGTCATATCTCGGAGTATAATGATCATTCTGAATTGAGAATATAATGAGTAGGCAGTTTTTTGGTTTAGAAACTATAGCTCGAGTATAAATAGCAAAAAAGGCTTATGAAGGCTGTTGGCTGCACAATATAAAGTACTTAATAAATTAGATCCCCCTTGATTTTTTTTTTTTTTGTACATTTGTTTGTAAAACCGGAGATAAACTGGAAGCCTAGTTCACATAATCCCTGCATGTTTATAAAGAAGGGAAAAGGCATTTTGTATTATTGCCTCCATGTATCTACGTATGCAGAAAAAGCAAGATTGCTGATGGCCATAAAGCGGGTGAGATGGTGGCTCAGTTTCTTCTTTATGAAGACGGATGGTGGCCTGTATCCCTATAGAGCTTTGAATGTCACTGTCAGATTCAGATGCTCACTCCCTTTGTTTTCAAAAATTTGAAAAGCAACCATCTTTTTTATTAAGCTGGACATAAGCAGTAAATATAATTTTATTTTTGATTGAGGAGGAGGCAAATGGAAGACTGCATTAATCACCACTAGGGGGCACCATGGCAATTTCTTTATTCCTTACGGCCTTATCCCCTGGGAAATGAAATATGGTGATGTACCAGTCGTAGACGAATGGTCTTGGGAGAGTGAACAGATATGTTCAAGTCCAGAAGGCTGTCAGGGTTTCCAGAATGCCGCGCTATGTTGTTCCATCCTGGACAGAGATGATGGCTCTTGGCACAGGATATTCAGCTCTGCCTACATCACTTGAACCGAGTCCTAAATATATTGGTCCCTTTACAAGCATGTATATTAAATCGTGTTGCTTACCAGCTGCTGTCACCTCCCAGGTAGCAGCTCTCACCCACCTTCCAGGGATCCTCCCAAAGAGCTGCTTTTTTAGCCTGATGAATCTGCCGGCGGTTCCCAATAAGCCTCCTCCACCGGGAGTTGTTGGTGTTGAACCAGCTTACTCCATCCACACCATTGTGGTGTCTCGTCACCGAGGGGGTTGAGGGGACTGTCACTGTAACACCTTCTTCTAATCAGCAATCCCCTCCGGCTCTTTGTGAGATACTGAGGCAGTTCATTACTGATCTCTTGACTCACTGTGCTTCTGATTGACTTGGGCTTTCTGAATTCTTTTGGACTTGGAGTCTTATTCTGGGTCAGTTTTAAAATTGGCTTGTGTGTTTTGACCCTGACTTCTGGGTGCCGATTCGCTGCTTGTCATTCCCTGTTGTGACTCATTAAACCTGTTTCTGCACTTGCCACTTGGACCTTGAATGTGCGCTTGGACCTCCGGTCTCTTACACAGTAGTGGGTATCCTCACCTCCCCAGGTTTGGGAGATCAAATTCTGTCCCTGCTCTGTCTTTTAATGTGTCCACGTAGATGTTCTCTGGGTACTCTGCTGTTCTTCCACAATCCAAAAACCTGTGGTTAAGCTAATTAGACTGTCTAAATGATACATAGTTCTCCCCTGCACTGTGCTGCCTGGGATAAACTCTAGGCTCACCCTGTACTGCATAAGAAATTATGGAAAATAGATGGTAAAACGAGCAGTAGATAATTTCATGTGCATCAAATGGGCTTGATGAGGTTTTTCCCATTGCTCAGTATTTCTGCAGTAAGAGATTTATGTACAGAGAGGTGCACTTTATCTCACTGCGAGGAGCCTGGCATTTCTGGTCAGCATGACATTTGTTTTACAACGGCTCTTAAAGTTGACTTTTTCATTTTATTTGACATCAGTGCTGATAAAATATGTTTCAAATGATGTTTAATAGTTTCTCCGTATTGTGTTTTGTTAAATATTAAATAATTAAATTAGTGTTTGATATTTCTCAGTATTTTCTATACATTTGCTTCTTGTTCCCCCTTTTTACTTTCCTTTCTTAATGTGCCCTCTTTACAGTCAGATGAAGCAGAGAATCAGGTGAGTTTGACATGAGGTTGTTGTCTCTCATTCTCTGACAAGGTCTCCCTGCCCCAACCCTCTAAATACCCGTAATGATCTGATATATTCAGATGGTTGTAAAACTCATCCTTTCCTATAATGCATTCCCTGATTGCTGCTAGGCAGAGGTGTTGCAATTTGCCCTTTTAGGGTCGTTTTGGGCCAGATCATAGTTATATATTTGCCTTTATCAGAAATGTATAAAATCTACATATATTCAACATGTACATTTCTTGCTGGGCTCCAACAGTATATGACTTGAAATTCTATTGATATTTGTCTTTTTTTTCCATAATTTTACTTATTTATTATATCTGAATTATGTTTTCAGTTTTGTTGCATTTGTGTTGCTTGTACCTCTTTAACTGGATTCATCTTGGAGAAGATAAAGACCTGTTGCCATGGGAGACGGTGGCTGCTGATTGCAGTACAATGAGCAGTGTACCATCCGTAAACACAGTCTATAGCCTATCTAGACCAATCTATCACATAACAATCTATCGTGTTTTTAGTTTCTTTTCTGCTTGTTTTCTTTTTAAAGATCAAAACAGAAATAAGGTTCTGAGTTATATGGCTGAGGTTAAGTTTTTTGGATTTTGCGTTCTATCTGCTAATTACTATCTATATGGTATAGAGTACTATATCTGGATGGTATAGAGTACTATATCTGGATGGTATAGAGTACACTACGAGGAATAGTTCAGTTATTATTTCAAAGGTTTAAAGTGTCCTTAAGCGCATTTTATCGATCAAAAGTTGGCCAGTATTTTATTCATAATATCGTTTGAATAAATGCAAGTAGTGCAAAACGTCATTTAAGTTGATATTTTATGAAGGGCAGATTCTTCTTACCTTATACAATATTCTGATACTTTCACATTACTCACCTATGTTAATACATTTATGGTATGGTCTGAAGTGTTATGCATGTGTGGATTTAGCATTTGGTTCATTAAGGTTGCAGCTTTATTAGCCCCGTTCATTTACCATTTCTTGCTTTTGTTTTCACATCCTGCTTATAAAAATAAATGGTAGTGTAATCACTGTTTTATTGAAACATTTAAACTGGTATTGTCAACAGACATGGTAACATGATGTAGTTATTTTACATGGGAATTAGTTTCCAGTTCACTGATTTCCTTCTATTTAATCAATAAAAGTTGTTGGGGGAAGGATTGACATGACAAAACAGGATTCGGCTTATGCTGTCTGCTTATTTGTCAGGCGAACAAAAAGTTTGCCCTTGGGATGCTGTGTGGTTCTTGAGTCCGGTCCAAGTGTGTTATCAGACTGTGGAGAGAATAGCAAGTGAAAGCATTACCTTGTCACCATATTCAGCTGCCATTGAATTGTTTCATTGCATCCCCAGCTATAAGAAATATTTAATACATAACTAAATCAATCATTTAATAAGTCATTGAACAAGTAAACTAGATAAGGAACGCATGCAGAAAACGACGGTGCAGTAGCACAACCATTAAGCCCTATTTCAGCATGTCAGGCTGGACACCTTGAGCTAGGTAAACTACCATGTTAACTGATGAAAGATTTACCCATCTGTTTTCAATTAACATTGGTGACATTTACATTTGAAGCATTTAGTAGACATTCTTAGCCAGAGCTACTTACATAAGTGCTTAGAAGTCTCCATCAGTGAATACACATACTGTACATAATGATTATGCACATAGCAAGAACTCCGTGCTTTAAGTGAATTCCAGGTTCTTGATTGAATTGAAATGGTTGTTTACAAATTCTGTCCTTGCTCAAAGTGTCCTCCCTGACATAGATTATGTCACCCTACTCAATTTGACTGTCCTTGAATTGTTTAATTCATTTAACTAAATTAAGCAACCATTTTTTTATGGTAATGTGACTAGAAAGACCTTCCAAATAATCGCACCTCCTTTCTGTCTTTTGTCTTCCCTATGCATACCCTTTTGTGTGTTAACAGTTGGACCCAGAGGCTAGTAACTTGCTGACCGATCTGCAGGTGAAGTTGAGCAATGTTCTGGATGACCTGAGCATTATATTTGTCAACAGGTGAGTATTTGTTCCCTCCCATGAATCAGAATCTTTATTGCCACATGACCAAGGACAGTGGACATTTGTGTTGGCACAGCTTGCTTCAGCTGGAAACACCATGACAATAGACAATTAAGAACTAGAATATAAACAGACAGAGAATAAATAGAAGACAAGGCAATAAGTACAGTGGTTTGTGTAAATTCAGATGAAAATTGACATAGGTACAATACAGTATTGACATGGGAACAATAAAAGCAACACACACACACACATACTGTATATATATATATATATATATATATATTATAATATCACATGCAATGTGATATTATAATGTGCAAATAGATCACTAGGGGTCTGTGCTGGTGAGAATGTAAACGTTGAAATGGTGCAAACGTTGCATTGTTGAATTACTACCTTATCTCAAAACTCCTCCTGCACACCATCAAACATATTGCATATTATAGGTTTGAACACTATGTAGGTTTTGGTCAGTCCCACACAATGCCTGTACCTTCCTATGACTGTCAATGACAGTGTTTTTTCAGGTCTTACCTAAGTAGGTCTTTGCATAAGTAGAAGTATTAAGACATTGTGTCCTCTCCACCAGTTTCCAGAGCCGGATCAATGGGTGTATAAGACAGATGGCAGAGCTGTTGTATCAAGTGAAGGGTCCCGCTAATGTCTCCAGCATGGTGGAGGCCGACTCTGACCACATACTGCGACCCCTCATGGAGTTCCTGGATAGCAAGTGAATGCCATGGCTGCTGAAGTTATCATAAAGGGCTTTATTTGAATTTACTGCTTTATTTTATTGTTATTTTTGCATATTGTCAAATTAACGTTTTTTTTTGTCTTTACCTCAACTCTTCATCTTGACTGTGTAATCTGCCTCCTGCTGTTTTAATGCACTCATAATTATTCTAACTGTGAATTGGGGAGGTTTCTTTGATATGTGCATGTGCACCTGTGTTCCATTTCCAATGTCTCTAACGTGTATGTCTCTGGTGCTCAGCCTCATGGTGTTTGCTGCTGAGTGTGACAAAACCGTGCTGAAGAGAGTCCTGAAAGACCTTTGGAGGACTGTCGTGATCGGTCTGGAGAAGATTATTGTGCTGCCACAGAGCAACGACAGCTTCGTGAGTCTCCACTTCCCTTCTCCCTTCTCTGCAGTTCCCCCTGTTCGCCTTCTGCGTTATACTGCCTCAGCTACCTGCCATTTGAAGACACAAAGGCAATTGTTTGAGTTCATAGTGCTCCTGCAGGCCAGGCATATCAATTCAGTTAGAAGTTGGTGCATGTCTCCATCTAGTGTCTATTTGTAGTCTTGCACTATTCTTATCTAATAAATGAATAGCTATGGTGGGGGCGGAATGGTGGTGCAGTGGTTAGCACTGTTGCCTCACACCTCTGGGACCTGGGTTCAAGTCTCCACCTGGGTCACGTGTGTGGAGTTTGCATGTTCTCCCTGTGTCATCATGGGGTTTCTTCCAGGTACTCCAGTTTCCCCCAAAAGTCCAAAGACATGCTGAGGAGTTAGCCTCAGGTGTGCATGTATGAGTGAATGGTGTGTGTGTGAGTGTGCCCTGCAATGGCACACTCATGCTCATTGCTTCTGGACCCCCCACAACCCAGTAGGATAAGTAGGTTGGAAAATGGATGAAACTCATGGCTCTGTGGTTCTGATTTGTGTAGGGTGCTCAGATCCTCAGTGCTGCCAAGGAGCTTGGACAGTTCTCAAAGCTGAAGGTGCGCTACCTGTGTTGCTGTTGCATAAGCATGCAAACTGCCTTCTGTATGACTGACTGTCTTGTGAAAAAGTGACATTATGTGAAGTACTGTTTTCAATAGGTTTTGTAAGTTTGGTTGCCCTCAATTATATACATTTAATCTGTTCTGTTTTAAGCTTGATTAGTTGTTAGTTTCTCTCACATAGTTTCACATATTCAGAGAAATTAAGTTCTTTCAGAATGTCAGAAACTTTCATACAATAGCATGGATGTACAGTACAGCGATTGGTGGGACTAGTGCTGATGGAAGGAAAACAGACTGAAGTTGAAGGTGGTAGTACCAACAGACTGTCGAAGAACAGCCAAACATCTACATAGAATCCTATTCTTTCAGCACATTCTAGGATATAAAATGAGAAGAATAGCATTCCCTTTGTTTCCTTTGAAGGGTTCAACTGAAGCCAAAACGCTGTCCTCGAAACAGTGTGCTGTAATGGATGTCACACTTGAGACCATCAAGGTGAGGAATCTGGTCATAATGGCCCATTATAGGATGCTGGATGAGTTAACACAGAAATTTATAACTGAGCATCTGCCTTTGTCCTCCAGCAATATTTCCATGCGGGTGGAAATGGGTTGAAGAAGGCCTTCCTGGAGAAGAGTACTGAGCTGTCCTCCTTGCGCTATGCCCTGTCCCTCTACACACAGCCAACGGACACTCTGATCCAAACCTTTGTTACCACACAACACACCCAGGGTAAGACATCTCAAATACAGCTTAATAAATAAAATAGCACCTAACAGCACACACACTAACAGAAAACTCTTCAGTTTTTTTTGATTCATTAAATTAGTAACTAGTGGTTTGCGGCTCTGCCAATCAGAACTCTGACCATTAAGGTCGCCAGTCCCAATCCCATGGCATGCGGAGTTATGCCACCACTGGGCCCTTAGCTTCAATTGCCCCAGGGGCACTGAACACAGGTCGACCCTGCTCCGTGACCCCCCAAGCACTGAACACGGGTCGACCCTGCTCCGTGAGCCCCAAGCACTGAACATGGGTCGACCCTGCTCCGTGAGCCCCAAGCACTGAACATGGGTCGACCCTGCTCCGTGAGCCCCAAGCACTGAACGCGGGTCGACCCTGCTCCGTGAGCTCCAAGCACTGAACACTTGGTCGACTCCTCTCTGTGACTCCCAAACTTGCTTTCACAGTATATTTCTGTAGGTGTCTCATGGAGAGCAAGCAAAATACAGTTTCCCCACAGGGATGAATAAAGTATCACAAATACGCTAGTGAAGGAATTTACCACTTTGTAATTAATTAATTTTCTATTTTCCCCTTCTTCACCAGTACATAATGGAATGGGCATCAGGATTACAGTCAATGAGAAAGTATGGCCTGACCCGGGTATGTCCTGAGCAATCGCTAGTGCATGACTGTATGCATGGAATAATGTCTGGACACTATAAAAAATGTAATATTTCATTTTTCTGTATACAATATGGCTTTTGGGTTTTCATGTAATTTTGAGACGATAAGTTTTAGAGATAAAGTATATATGGTTTCGGTTTGCTAAAATTCACTTGTAGATGATTTTCTGCTGGGCTCAGAACTGGTATTAATTTAGGTACGTGAATGTAGTTTTCATCATACGAAGGCATTTATAGTCTTATATGGCTGATCTTTATTGATCTAGTTAAAATTCTTGTCTCCAACAAGACACTTCAGCTGGGAGTTAAACACCTGTCACACTTATATTTGGGCAGGGCCAGGGGTGGAGCGGGCAGTTGGTGAGCTGTCCATGCAGGTGGATATTGCTACTGGTCCCAAGGAACAAAAGGTCACAGTGAAAGGTAAACTCAAACAGGGAGGTTACCTAGCCTAAGATTACTGACTCATAATCATGATTACTCAAATGTTACAAAATAACGAGAGAACAATCAAGTTGTTTTACTGGATTGTTTAATCTTCAGAGAACAGACAGAAAAGTTTGAGTCCTCCTTGTCTGCTGCTTTTGCTGAGGTGTTGCCTTCCCTCCCCTCTAGTTCTCGCAGTGAATGACCTGAAGTGGCAGACCACTGGAATGTTCCGGCCCTTTGTGGACGTGACAATTATAGGCCCCCATATCAGTGAGAGGAAACGCAAGTTCACAACCAAGTCCAAGAACAACAGCTGGTCACCAAAGTATAATGAGTCCTTTTTCTTGTGAGTGCAGTCCCACAAACCTGCACAAATGGCTACACCCTTGCTTCAAGCAAAGTTTAAACTCCATGCACCTACAGATATTCATAACGTTTCAGTCCAATACAGACATGAAGTAACTTGCATGCCGGCGAACAGTAAAAGCAGCACTTCTAATTTTAAACTGTCTGCCTCTTCTTCCCCGTAGCACTCTGGGAAATGAAGTACGTTTGGACTGTTACGAGTTGCAGGTGTGCGTGAAGGACTACTGCTTTGGTCGTGCAGACCGGGTCGTGGGCATTGCTGTCATACAGCTGCGGGATGTGGCTGACAGACGCAGCTGCGTCTGCTGGTGCCCCCTGGGCTGTCGGATACAGACGGACGAGACGGGCCTGACGGTTCTGCGGATCCTCTCCCAGCGATCCAATGATGAGGTGGCCAAAGAGTTTGTCAGGCTCAAGGCGGAGACACGCTCAGCTGAGGAAGGCAGATGAAGAAGGAAGGTGGAGGGTACTTAGGCACCACATCTGGGCTGGTACACGATGAATGACAGGACTTTGCCCCACACCCCCCCTGCTGGTCTCAGCTTGTCTAAGAAGGGAAGGGATTATGGGTAAAAGCTCCTCCCACCTGGCCATATTTGCCTTATTCTCATTTTTCACTCTTTCTGAAGAAACAACGCGGAAGCTCAGAGTGAAAGCTGACATGAACTTTATGGCACTTTTCCACTGCCACCAGGAACCGAGCCGTACCCGATCTGTCCTCGAACTGATGGTGTTCGATTGCAAAGTATGTGAGCCATACCTGAGCCATACCTGTGCTGACATGGCCCTGCTTAGCGTGACCAAACCCGGCTAGTTGCGTCAGCACCTCCGATGGGTTGAAAGCACGGAGATACCACTGATCTGCGTTGATAGGCATGGATTTTCTGAAGGAAAAAAACAGCATATTTTATATATTATTTATTTGTGTCGCATATTGCAGTGTATTAATGCATTCCTGATAACTAATAAATTATAAATACATTTCCAACCTCCAACTTTAAAAAGTACTATAGAACAGCTGAATGAAATGGATTCCTAAAGAAAACTTACACAGGTGAATGCTAATTTTGTTAGCTTTTGTTGATAGCATAACACAGCAATTCTCATAGACATACTACTGAAAATTAGCAAGCAGTAAACAACAAAAAAAATCATGATGTACACCGTGTGGACAGTATATGTGCGGCTCTTCGGTTTTACGTCACTGTCGCACTCCAAACCCAGCAACACCTTTACCAAGCTGACCCTTTTGCAGTGGAAAACCGAAGCTAGCTGGAACTGCGCTGTAATTAGTCTCTCTTTGCAGCACGGCTCGGGTCAGTTCCAGTGTGCCAGTGGAAAAGCGCCATTAGAGTCATGGCCCCTGTAACAGTTCCCTGGTTTGTAGGGAACTGCATCTTCTCCTCCTAAGTCTCTCACACAAACACACACCTATCTGGGGTGTTTGTCAGAGCCTATGATATCAACATGGCCCCCGTTTTCCAGTAGCTGGTGTTACATCACGCTTATTTTTAAATCTAGCAGACACTGTATAAATAGGGGTCAGAGGGCGGGGTCAGTCGATGTCCTGGGAGCAATTGGGGCTAAGGGCCTTGCTCAAGGGCCCAGTAGTAACGTCACTCTGCCAACCACGGATTTCAGCTAGTGACTTTACAGTCATAGGCACAGAGTCCTTACCCACGGAGCCTCTCACCTCCCCAAAATGCATACAGTTTTTAATCATTCTCCATGAGAGTAACCTTAAAGGCCACATTCCTCATCCTCATGAGTGTGATGCATGTTCTGCACATCATTCTTACACTGAGTTTCCATGCAACTATAAGCAAGAGAAAAACCTATACACGCATATAATACATGAATGTAATGTGGATATGTTATTTATAAGGTATGTAAATTACAACAACACAAAGAATTTGGATTGCCAGGACATGAGTGTCTATATTTATTAACCAGACAGTTTTTATATCATTGACCATGTGTTACAAGCCCACTGGCTCAGTCTCTATAGCCTTAAGTAAACTAGCTTTTGGGGTTGGGTAGATGGAAGTAACGATGATTTTGAAGGAACATATGTCTTTAAGCAAAAGTAATTCCGTAAGCTGTAAAGATAATGTTCACAATTCTTTTAATTTTCAGTGAACTGGCATCTCATCCGGAATGTTCCCCTGCCTTGAGCTCAATGATTCCTGACATAGGCTCTAGGCCCTGTACAAGTATACATTACAGTGTATACATTATGGATGGATGCATGAATGGATGGATGGATGGATGGATGGATGGATGGAAGATGCTTTTAATTTCCCCCCCTGTCTTCCTGTTTCTTGGGTATGTGCGTTTCTGTTTTTCAGGTGGTCTGCTCAAGATAAAACCGAGTCCATTTATAAGAACAAAGACTTTGATCCGATCAGCAATCATAAGAGGTTCTTTGAAGTATCATTTCTGAAGTTTTCTGATTAAGGGAAATATTGTTATTGACATTACTGATATTGTTAGGAATGTTTATTGACAAGAATGTCTCCTGATAGTTTATGCGGTATGTATTATTTATATTGTTGTGTGAAATGTTATGGACTTACATGTAAGTTTGCATATGTTAGTCTAAAGAGCTAGAAAGACAACAGGCTAATATAGTCAGACTGATAGGAGAGGCAGTCCCAAGTAGTGCAGTGGATGACATTTCAGTTTGTCTGCTTCCATCATCATCATTGTGGCCTTAATATTTTAGTTAAAAATTTAAGAACTCATTCAAACTTACTATTATGTGTAGTAGCACAGTCTCGCCCAGTCTCTTCTTCAAGTGGTGCAGGGGTGCAGGACAGCAGAGTGAGGATGTAAAAAGAAAAAGATCCTTAATACATTGTATATATTTTGTGACAAGCAGTGCAAAAATGTGTTTATATGTATTTTTATATGTGAAGCATATATCTTCATAAAATGTCTAATATTGCATGCACTGTATATTTTGATGTATTCCAGAGCTTGATTTGTGAATTTTTATGTATTCTCTAATGGTGACGAGTAATGTTAATGATAACATTAGAATTACACATCAAAATTACTTCAACAAAAACATGAGTTTTCTGGTTATTGGATCTTGTATTTATCACTCCGTTTCCCATTCTTATGCGCATGAATTTTTATTCTTGATGGTTTCACACTTTCAGTGCTTAAACACATGTTGAACTTGACCATGAGAAAGCACTAGAGTATTTATCCTGAGTGTCGAACCAGTAGTGGTTCGCTGATTCCTTCAGTTGGAACATGCAGAAAAATGAGCTGCACCACCCCAGTGTTTGCCGGGACATCCAATGTCAATGCAAATGCAACATCCCTCTGACCACTGATGCACTAAATATTTAAGAATGTAGCCAGCAGCTAGGTGGCATTCATGCTATAACAGGTGTTGAGTGCTGTTAGTTTTTATAGATCAGCGTTTCTCCTTATGTCACTGTAGTCCCAAGATCCTGCCACCCATCTTCTTCTTTTGTGCTCATAAACACCTTATGTTGATGCTGCAGATAATTTTACTCTTGCTCTCATTGAACCTGAAAATCAATGAGTTTCCTTGTCAGTCACATGCTCCTGACTGCTCTTTGATGACGATATTGTTTTTACTTGGTGTTCCCAGCACAGTCGGCTTGCGTTCCTCAAGTCTATAGGTCATTGTGACCTTAGAATTCCTGAATCATTTTCAAAATTGCTCCTCTCAGCAGTTGTCTTTCATGTGTTTTTGTCTTGAATAGGTTTGCAGGTTTGCATACCTTTAGCATACAAGCATCACTGGACTTAGCATCATAAATCACTTGAAAGAAAATGTACCTTGAAAGGATCTTATCTATCAATATTAATCTTTTAAATGAACTGGTAAAATGATTGACTAAACATTAGTCTTTTGAATAATGAAATGACTGGAATGAGAAGGTTGCAGTTGTTCAGGTACATAGGAAGGTGTTCAAAGTCTGTAACTTCCCATTCATGTTTTATTTTCAGAATGAGAACTATTTCAGGGTGGTAATTCTGCATCTTCTGTTATTATTTCATGACTAATGTCCTTAAATCGGTCCAAGAGGGAAGAAAAAAATTGTGATATCTATGAATGTGGCTGCTTATTACGGTAACATGATTGCATAATCATTGTTTACTTCTTTAGTTCTTTCTGAACATTTCCTCCTTAAAGGACAACATGACGCACTCAACTTTCCATATAGAGCCACAACCTGTCGCCTTTATTGCACTAATGTGACATCAAAAGCGACATTTACCTGAGGAGGCCATCGGGTCCAAAGATCATGTCACTGTTTGTTTAGCTTGGGGTCTGGTGTGCCAGTGCATTTACAGCCTGCCATAGATTCATGCATAGTCTCTGCTGCTGATGTTCTCCTGGAAACGTTCAGGGGCTTTTGACGTTGCTCAGCCTCTGTGAATAAATGTGAACAGAAGAAAGGTCTAGAAGAAGTGTACTGTATGTGAGTACATTGGAACACACCATGTACTGGACGTACCTGAACACACGTGCATCCGTGTTTGAGAGAGAGAGAGAAAGACAGAGGGGTGAGGTTAAGTTGATAAAATCTTAAAAAATAGGTGCCATAATCTGTTCAGCACCACCTCTATTGTTCTTCTGGGTGGCTATTTCCTGTTGACCACTTTTCATGAAAGAATGACTTGCATGTCACTACGGTACGGTAAGTTCCTGTCTTGTGTGGTTTAAAAGTTCCACTTTTGATTGTAATGGTTTAAGGAAGTGCATTTTAGTTTCACAAACGAGTGTAACAAAACTGTTTCAGTCCTTATGTATCACGTCACATGATAAATAGAAAGATGCTTTTTGTGTCCTTAACTGAAGCAGTAAAAAAAATAAACTGCACTTGTGTCAATTTTTAAATGAGTTTCAATAATATACAAGTTCAATAAAACGGTGAGTGAAATTAAGGGTTGGCTAAGGCTGGCTTTATAATTAAAGTATAAACATTTATGAAATGCAAGTTGCTAAATGACTTTATTGAATGAAATTATTGAAAGTTAATTAGTAAGTACGGGAAATGTTTCCATCTGAATTCGAGGCTTGCTTTAATTTTGTCTATGTAGTTTCGATGAAATCTGCTTCACACTATTAATCTAATTTAATGACGAAAACCTACTAGTTTCCATTTCTTAATTTCTTAATCACTTTAGTCATTGTGGCATTCACTGGATATTTTGCTATACAATGAACTTCTAATCAGAAATTACATAAGATAAATTGTTCTAAGTCTAGGAGTTAGCAAAACATACACTTACTGTGTGGGGGAAGCATTTCTAATAACACCAACAAATTCTTCATTAGGTAAAATTAGTATGTTTACTGTAGTTTTTCATTGTTTTACAATTATTTTATTTATGCTAGATACAAATGACAATTTTACTTTTGAACTTAATAGTTTACCACATGTAGGAGATTGAGTGGTATTGTAGGCAAGTGGATAGTGTTCCTGCCTCACACCAGCAGGACTGGGGGCTTAAATGTGGCTTCCTTCATATGTCTTTCCTACTGCAGAAAGGTGCTGTTAGGTGAAGCGGTGTCTCTAAATTGACCCTAGTGTGAGTGTGGGTCTGTGCATCGTAGGATATTATCTGTGACCCGGTTCTGGAGGTAGGAAAGATGGATGACTGTATCAGGTGCTAAAGATATTTTCCAGAACTTCTTTGTATCAAAGTCAGAGTTTGAGGATGTGTAATTGAGTTTTCAACAAGTAATGGAGAATAGAATGGTTTCCCTTATTGAGGTAGAAACTGATTGGTGTGTAAATAAATTATAAGTACAGTTAAAGGTGGATAAAGAGGGGCTGAGCATTAAGGCAGGAGAGGGTGAGAGAGAGAGAGAGAGAGAGAGAGAGAGAGGGCCCGCCTTACTCTGTTTATCTTCTGTGTGAGAGCCTGATTTGGTCCTGGGCCCCGGTGCCACTTCCTTCTGAGCGGCTCTGGTGACTGCCAGCCTTATGTGTGGACTGACGAGAAGAGGTACTGGAAAGCAGACGACTAGGGAATGTCTGCAGAGCGCTTGCAGCTCCATTGCCGAAGCATGCAGATGCTGCCTGACACACACTGAGGGAACCAGAACAGTTTGCAGCAGACGGTAAGGGGTTTGTCTAGTTTCTCTATCCTGGAGTACAGGGAAGGGCAAGATGTTGGGATTGGGGAGGGGGTGTCTGTTTGATGTACTGGGGTGTAACTAGCTTCCATGTCCTCTGGCCAACATTCTTATGTGGTTCTGTAAGCAGGAAGGCTGAAGTGTTGGTGCCGAGTTAAAAACTCTGTAGGAAAAAAAATTGTGAATGGAACTTGGTGTTCCCCTGGTTCCAGCAGAACACTACATTTTTCCACTGTTATTTGGGGTTTAAGACTGAATACGCCTGGCTTAGGAAAAACACGGACCCTGGAAAAGTGAAGGGAAATAAAATTAAAATTTGGGTTTTAAATCCATGCTTGCTTCTAATGCATGATCTGAATGGGCTGAAACCGAACTTTCTAACTGCATTGTTAAAGGAAACTGGCTGCTGATTGCATTATTGTACAGATATACATGTAAAAATGTTGTTTAGCTTTGTTTCTTGAAATTAATGTGGCTTATAAATCCAAACCAATGTTTTGGGAGTGAAAATTATGAATGCTTGGTAATGACAACTAAAGGAGTTAGTGAATTAAAAAGGAAGGGAAGCCACCATTGATCAATATATAATGGCTGGCTGAGATTTGGACAGTTGGGACTTGCTGGTCTTGAGCTACAACAGACGCCTTGTTGACTTTGTGTGCCATCATGAAAAGTACAGAAAAATAGCAAGCATTGCCTAAGGATACTGACAGGTATCATTTTGTCATTCAACCTCACAATTTCATGATAGATGCCAGTTAAATACATTGTACCTAGGTCACTCCATGGTTGTTATTTGACTGCATTGTTTCTTCTTTTCTCGTCCTGCCTCTCTCTTTTAAATAGAAAAATCCTTTTACAGGCAGGGAATACATATAGCAGATTTTACTAAGTTGTGTATCTACCGTTATATGCAATTTTATAAACATTTTCTAAAATAACTCACTCTTTGCAAGTTTCTTTACAGTTTAAACTTCACATCAATATGCAGTGTGTTCAAACACAATAAAGTAATGCCGACTCAGGGTATTCATTGTGCAGGTCTTCGTAACGCTCGACAACCTCAGTAAACCATTGTGTCTCTCACCTGGTCAGCTCATTGACGGAACCCTCAACTCTTTCATTCTTGAATAATAATATCAATTATTCAATAATTACATACAATGTTCTTTTCAGAATTACGTAGTGGAATTATTATACGGATGAGCTGATACGTGTTTTATCAATTGGTAATGTAGTATCCAATCTAACTGGTATAAATGTATCTTGTAAGCTGAGAAAGGATAACACTCTCACGCTTTGAGATATTGAATTCAGGTTGTAAAAGGTTGCTTGAATAATTTATCACACTTTTGTCCTTTTTGGCTTTTGAGGTCTCTCTTCGAAGGAATGTGCTAAATTGTGACAAAGGTACTGAAGTGCTTTACTAGAGAGGAAGCCATGATGTGCTGGAAAATATTATTTCTCCTATGTATTTTCTCACTGCTAGTAGCTTTAGAGATGCATATTGGGCAGCTTAATACTATTGTATGGGATTGTACTGTTGAATGGGGCTGGGTTCGGTTTCGTTTGGCTTTGTCAGGATATGAACTTGTCCCCAGTCTATTGATATAGGTAAGGCTGTGTTATAATCTAATCCATCTAAGACAGAAGCTTTTAAATTTGTGCAGTGCTTTGCCAACTTACTGTGTATTACTTTTGGCTACTGTGATGAAAAATACACTAAAAGTATACGATGTGTCTAGCTTTAGCTCAGTTTTGTGGAATTTGCATGATTGTGTGTGCTTGTTCAGAGACTTTTCTTGGCTCATACTTACTCCATGGTGTCTGCAAATTGCACTGGGTTAAAATTCACTCTTATCTTTTTGTTTAGAATGGTTTGCAGGAAACATTGAACAGTATATCCGGAATACTAATAGAAGCATCCA